TGTTAAATTTTATCCCTATAAATAAAATTTGACGCAATTTTATAACTTCTTACTACACTTAGCGTGAAACTTTAAGTAGGGCAAACTTTTTATTAACCGAAGTTTTTCCTGTTTTTATTTAATATTATAGCTCTAAATTATATACATTTACAACAATAAATACTAATTTATTACTAATAATTATAATTACAACAATAAAAATAATAATAATAATAATTCAGGATTTATATAGCGCCTCCCGTTGACAATTTTAATTTTAATAATAATTAATTCCACAGTAGGGTGTCCTCAAACGGTCTGTGGTTTATCAAATAACATTATAAATGATGATGATGAAAATAATGATGATGGTGATGATGATGACGACGATGATCATGGTGATGATAATGATGATGATGATTATGATTATGTAAATAATGATAATTATGATAATGATGACAGTAACAACGACGACGACGACAACGATGACGATGATTATTAAAGTGAATGTTACTAATAACAGTGCATGGTAAAAATGCATAAAAAAAAGTGGAGGGAATATTTTAGATGACAATAATGATTAGAGTGAGGCAGTATTGAAATAACAATAAGTGACGTGACTGCATTACCAAGACAACGATCAACATCAAAATATGGAGTAAATGCAGAAAAGACTGACGACGTTGGTGGATAAACGTAATTTCGAGTAGATGAGGATCTTAAACAGTTCTTTAAAAAGGAGGCACAATCCATTATTCTCATCATTAGATTTTATATAAGCATACTCCAAAAAACTTGTTCTTAGTTAGTTGTTCGTAACTAAGCTAATTTCAGAAAATCAACCAGGAAAATGATGATTATGATTAATATGCCACGTACGTCATCATCTTCAAGTATCAGCATTTCTGTGTTGTCGCCTAAACTGCTTAAGAAAGAATAATCATATTGATCTTTGTAATTTGCAGTCCGTTGAGAAACAATGTTTTACTACGCATTAGCAACAACAAAAATGTGTAAAAACTATTACTTTAAGTTAGATTTAAAGTCCAAACGTATCCTCATTTTACTAGTTGGTGAAGGCGTCTGCCTAGACAGCAGAATGCTCAGGTTCGAATCCCGATTGAGCAAATTTGTTTGCATACTCGAAAATCTCTCTCTCTTTGTTTGTTGATTGTTGAATTACCACTATTTCTTTCTTTCTATCTATCTATCTATCTATCTATCTATCTATCTATCTATCTATCTATCTATCTATCTATCTATCTATCTATCTATCTATCTATCTGTCTGTCTGTCTGTCTGTCTGTCTGTCTGTCTGTCTGTCTGTTAGATATCTATCTATCTATCTATTTATCTATCTATCGATCTATCGATCTATCGATCTATTGATCTATCGACCTATCGATCTATCGATCTACCGATCTATCTATCTACCGATCTATCGATCTATCGATCTATCTATCTATCGATCTATCGATCTATCGATCTATCGATCTATCTATCTATCTATCTATCTATCTATCTGTCTGTCTGTCTATCTGTCTGTCTGTCTATCTGTCTATCTGTCTGTCTGTCTGTCTGTCTATCTATCTATCTATCTATCTATCTATCTATCTGTCTGTCTGTCTATCTATCTATCTATCTATCTATCTATCTATCTATCTGTCTATCTGTTTATCTGTCTACCTATCTACCTATCTACCTATCTACCTATCTATCTATCTACCTATCTATCTATCTACCTATCTATCTATCTATCTATCTATCTATCTATCTACCTATCTATCTATCTATATATCTATATATCTATCTATATATATATTTATCTATCTATCTATCTATCTATCTACATATTTATCTATCTATATATCTATCTATCTATCTATCTACCGTATATATATATATATATATATATATATATATATACATATATATATATATATATACAGGCCTCTCTGAGTACAGGCCTCTCTGATGAGAGAATTATCGTACATGTAGGACCATTGCGTAGAGAGTAACTTCTTCTCCCCTAAGGGTCACTTTGTATCTGAGCTACCAGGTATCATAGATTTATTGTGTTTAGAAAAAATGGGAGTAGTTAAACAATAAGTTTGTTATGCAAAATTATGTTATGTATAAACACATGCTATTCAGTAGTTTTTATTTATTCTTTTCTCTCATTAAATAACGAATGTGCTTGAAAATAATGCACGAAGGCCAACCGGTTAATTGATGAGACCTCTATATTGTTTTCATTATTTCGACATTTCGATTTGTCTCATCCATACTTAAAACGAATTTTCCATGGATGAAAACTATGACGTCATGCACTTTGTTGTAATTCGTTATGTCAGGGCATCCATTATACGTTGTTAAAAATAGTTATTAATTGGGATTTATCCACTTTGGCTGATCACATGGGTTATTTATATCATTAATATTATTTCCTCTATGTTTATGTCAAACACAAACTGTACACTTGACGGCTCTGGACTAGACAGTTTCACTCCCATTGCCTACTACGTAAAAACAGACTACTGAAATACCTGGTTCTCGGGATGTTTACCTACGTTAACGTATTGATGATGGTGATTGTTGCGATGTTGTTAATGATGATTTTCTAACAATCAATGTTGACGCTCTCCTTAAATATGATATTCAGATTATTTGATTATCCCATTTGCTTAAGGGAACTGGGTTTTGGCTTGTGTACTGCGATTTTCGTATTTATTCATCTGAACTAACCAACTAACATACGATAGAAAAGTTGATAATAGCGTACATAAGTTTATTGGCATTCCAGGAATAATAGACCTACATATTTAACATAACTTCTATCTTAAAATTAGTATTTGTAATATTTCAAGTTGCATACAGGTGTGGTAGTATAATTTCGGTCTTTAGACACTGAGGAAAACGTTCGAGCTTCGTTAAAATAGTTGGATACGTTAACGCTGGGGGTGTTGCACAGAGTTCTATTGTAACGTTCTAGCCTATATGCATATTTTTACCAATATTATAAATGTAGGGCCTATGGTCAGCAGCTACAATTCTTCATGATTGACGCTCGTGCATACTGAGTGACGTAATCATTAAAAATACATTGCCTTCGGGGAAATACTAGCACCGCAAGTATTTTGCATGCTAGAATGCTTCAAATTAATCTACCACACCCCCACCCCACCCTGTTCTTTTTAGACCCCCTCGCTCTCTTAAGGAAACCAAACAGACACTGAGAGAAGCTTACGAGCTTCGTTAAAATAGTTGTATACTTTAACGTTGGGGGCGTTGCACAGAGCCTATTGCAATGTTCTAGCCTATATGCATATTCTTAGCAATATTATAAATGTATGGTCAGCAGCTACAATTCATGATTGACGCTCGTTCATATTGAGTGACGTTATCATTAAAAATACAGGGCCATATGATTAACCAATCAGATATTGCCTTATAGCCCTACTAGAATTGATTCAGTATTAATACTGTAATTATAAAAATGCTTACTTTGTCGATGTCTGGCAGGATTAGCTAAAGATAATAATCTAAGAGATGTAAGACATCATTCATGTTAGTGAGTGTTGTTTTCATTTAATTGGCCTAGAATGGCGATGGAAGGACAATTGTAATTACAGAAAGTATGCATTGATTACATAATAGTAGGCCTAAATATGTGAATAATTCCAGAATCTTTTTGTTTACTAATAATAGATGACATGTATCCATGAACGCAGAGTGAGTATACAAGTATATAGCATTTTGATATTTAAACTGTATTAACTTCATGTGGGAGAATATACGCTGCAGAAATACAATACAAATTAAGGCAAAAATACAAGAAAAAAATACATTACATAGGCCTAAAAACTAGCAAACATACTGGAGCAAAGCAGAATTATTCCAAATTTACAACATCAACATTCTATAACCGAACATACCCAAAATACAAGTAGGCATACAATAAAAACGAAGGCAAATATCGGGGAAAAAATGTATTACATACAAACAAACATGACAGAGCAGAAAGGCATTAAAATAAAAAATAAAATTACGATAAAAGTTATGCACTCAGCCACCTGACAGAAACAGATATCATGGTCAGGCTTGGCTCGTACCCAGGGGGCGTGCATGAACTAACTGATCATCTTTTCCAAAAGAACACCACTCAGATAAATAGCACTATTTTGCACGAGTTCCCTGAATATCCTGTCTCTTATACACATCTAGATGTGTATAAGAGACAGCCCCCACCCCCCCCACCTTGTCGGGGAAGTTAGGATTGATTAGACAGGGGATACAAACAATAATATTACACGACGCTTATTAAATATTGTCCTGAAATTGATAGAATTATATAAATTAATAGTTTGGGTGCAGATGAGAAAAAACACCATTCTTAGATCAAGATTCCTTGTAAGAGGGTCTAGAGGGACACTTCCCCTCTGAAAACCTCCCCCGGATCGGGCCTACGGCCCTCGGATGGCGCAACGCGCCAAAGTACAACTCTTACCTTGTCTGCCGAGTTCGCCCACCGTCGGGGAAATACTAGCACCGCAAGTGTTTTGCATGCTAGAATGCTTCAAATCTACCACACCCCCACCCCACCCTTTTCTTTTTAGACCCCTCGCTCTCGTAAGGAAACCAAACTAAGGGATCCTGGTCACTGGCCTCTCAGGAAATACACTTAGTTTTAAAGCATTTCGAGTTAATAGCTTAGCTAGCTTTTTCAATCTTGGAAATTATAAATGATTGATATCATATCAGTGAACTAATTAGTCGTTATTAAAATCCAGCTAAGACGAACTATATTATATTTCAAACATTTCTGTACGCAATACCAACACTATCCGTCAAGAATCGTTCATTAGATTCAACGAAGGCTAGTAGTCAGCTGAAGTTATATCACTTTGTTCTTATTGGCTACAATTATTAGAACTGATGTGCAGTATTCGACCAATGAGAAGCTCGACAAGTCCTTATAAAAAAGCAATCTTATTTTCGCGTAGGGATAATAGTAATTACCTTTAGCTACGATTCTTTAGCACTATTTTGCACGAGTTCCCTGAATATCTTTGCAGTCAATGGTTCGTGGAACTGATCACACAGGCGGCGCGAAATAACAGACTAAAAGCAGATAACTGCCCGATTTCTTGAGCTCGGAGGTTCCCTCCGTAATTGAAAATCATTCGAAGAGTTTAGCTTAAGTGGGCTACAATTCGACACTTGCAGCTTCCTCGCGGGGTTTTATTGATGTTAGGATCGAACAGTATTGCTGGAATTTCACCGTTTTTAGACTTTTGAAATAATTCAATTTTTGAGTACGCGTTGCCCGGGGCCTCTAAAGAAGCGTTAGTAAACGCTCAATAATAAATGCTTTATAAACATACGTGATTTTTCGCTTTCAAGAACATTTCGTAATGGCAACGGATACGATGAGAGCGCTCAGAGAAAGAGTAGTTGGTGGTGGACAACAAGCTAAGGAATTTATAAATGTATCTATTGAAAGGTAAGGTACACTTTTTTTTTCTTAGTACAAAATGGTGTTAAATTATGACAGCTTAAATTGAAGAAAAAAAAGCCACATCTTACTTTAATAAGAACATCAGAAAAAAGACCTTGAACCATTCAGATAATCTTACAAAAAGTAAAGTACGCAACTTCAATAAACTAAAACTATAGGTATATTCCTCAAAATATAAATATACCGCCAGAGGCATTTTTACCCTCAAGGGCCTTTAGACTAAGCTTAGTATAGCCTACATTCCTATTCACGTATACGGACATAATTCAAAAACCATTATACCATGATATATGCATTGTACATGTGTATTATCCTAGGGATGTGTCTATGTTCACACGCTTACTGTTATTACCAGTCAACCGTGTTTATATACGATATTCATGGGGAAATTGTATACGATATTCACAGGAAAATTATACGCATATAGATTAAGTAGATGGAACCTAATTTTATGCGATCCGTAAGGTACTTCAGTAGGCGTAGGCATTATACAACTACTTTAAAATTCAATTAGGTATAATATATTATTTTCATCATGATAATATGTAACTGGGCGTAAAGATAGCGAGATTGGTGTGGGTTTTTTTTTTAATGTATGCGTTTTTAAGGCATGATTATTTGCATGTAAACAAACTGGGAGTTATACCTTTTACAGTAATGATAAAATTGAATAATCTTACCTGTCATTTTTTTTTAATGTGGTGACCACAAAACCTTCTGCAGCCATAAATGCTGTTCTTATGTCCTTCATATTCAATCGAGATTTACACTGGTGTAGACTTATCCATACTGATCTTCCTTAAATAATGTCTTTGGAGAATGTGCTTTCATTCTTACCCTTTTTTGAGTTTACACGTCCCTGCAATGTACTTTGGTTTTGGTAGATAGGTGGAACATATAAATGTGTTAGACAAAATGTGTTTTCTTTTATTTATTTATTTTTTTCAAATTGACATATCTTTGCAATATATCTTGGTAGACATGTGATAATCATTATTTCTCAAAATTTCTATGCAATGTACACATACTAGAAAATCTTCCAGGGCTTACCAACAAATTTCCGTTATTTAGTTTTTTCGTTCAAAACTTAAGTTTTATAGTAAACAACATGATGACAGATTTGATTGATACAAGCTTAATATTGTATTCATAAAATATTTAATTATCAACTAAGTTTATCAATGTTCATGTGAATGTTTAAAGGTGAACAGATGCAGCATTGTCTAGTGTAATTATTTTTTCAGTTTATGTTTTATGGGTATATTTCGTAGCGAAATGTCATCCACGTCATGTTCTGTTAAATATCAATAATACTATACAAGTAATAAGACTTAATTATGAGAAGTACATGATCAATTAAAATAATATATTATATATATATATATATATATTATATATATACACATATATGTATGTATGTATGCATGTATGTATGTATGTTTGTATATGCATGTATGTATGTATGTTTGTATATATATATATATATATATATGTATATAGGCCTATATATATATAAGATGTGTATAAGAGACAGATATATATATATATATATATATATATAACAATAAATAAACGCTTTCCTCGAATAAAGACCCCCCTCGTATAAACGCACCTCAAAACCCTTATCAACAATAATTATTCGAATAAATATGGTATTTTATAACATAAATATTCTTCTAGCCAATTAACTAATAATAGATATGTTCAATGATAGAGCAGTTAATGCAATGCGAAAATAATTAATTCGAGGGAATTGGGATGAAAATGTGTATATCGATTAGGCAATTCTAATGCTAGTTGTCTTCATGAAAAATGTTTTCATATAGTCAATGTTAATGCCGAGAGCCTATCCGCAGCTATAACGAAAGATAGTCCTATAGGCTTAAGTGTTACCCCTCGAAAAAAAAAATCCTTAAGTGCAAAGAATTACAATTGTTTATGTAATTTGTTAAACCAGAGGAAAGAATGGAATGAGAGAGAGGAAGAAGGGAAAGAGGACTTAAAACGTATGGAGAGACAACATACAAAAGTAGCCTACTATTAAAAAAAGAATGTTCTGTAAAAACAATGGGTGGCTATGAAATACACACAAATGTATTTCATTGTTCGGATGAACTAGAGCTAGCTTGGTCGAAGCTCTACCAGGTATAATGCTTCGACCAAGCCATACTGGTTTGTGTTGAGACCAACCCCCTACCGTAAGTGATGCTTGACATGCACATTCTGATCCGATTGAAATTGTTTTTATTGAATGAACTGACTGTATTTTCTTATTTAAAAAAATATCGCAAATTTACGGCCTGATATTAGAGTCATCTGTTCATTATTAAACGTAGAGACTGTAAACAAAGTTTATGCACATAAACTCCTCATTTCTAACGTAATACATGATCCCATAAAGAGGCCGTTGTAGAGCATCGATGTTCAAAATTGTCAGCATTGCTTGGACAGAGGAAATTCTAATTCATAGGTCAGCGGCGAATGAAAAAAAATCGATTCGTTACGGAAACCATGGTTTATGTATGCATGATTATAGATTTTAGGTGATATCTTCAAAACTTAAAGTCGTGTTAATCATTTTGCAATTTAGCGGACAAACGATTACGTAACGCAATTAAACAACCATGAGTTCCGCTAAGGTGGCTACTGATTCAATTTTTAATCTCGTTGTTTCTGTCGAGCATACGATAGATTATATTCAGAAATATTGAATCTAATAGCTAAAGTGAAATACATCTCCTTAGCTACTGTCGATTCACAAAATACAAACACGAATCAGTATGCAAAGTTAATAATATGCTCTAGATTTGCAGTTCGAAGAAATCTGCATTTCAAAGTGAACATAAATAAAACATTTTAACGATTGTAAGACGATGTGTTTATGTATCAATGCCACTCTCGTTAATATAGGCCTATAGGTCTATACTCGGCAAAATTGTCATGTATTATTCACTTGTCTACGCATTTTGCATTTTGTACAGCCTACTGCTCTTATAAACATTAAACAGACGGATAGATGATCGACTGGCTGAACGAATGCGTGTACTAAAAGGCATAATTGTAATCATCAACAGGTTATTATAATCATTATTACTATCACCATTGTCATCTCATAACCACAAGTTGCTTCTTAAAATATTTCTTAGGACCACCTATAGGTACTGTAAGATAAAAACTCAATTTTTATAACGTTGATCATAGGGATCACCATCGAGTTGATACCAGACAGAACATGTATTATATTAATATTATCAATATAAAACATCATCATAAGTAGCCTAATTCATTAAGAATTTTACGGGGAAAAAATAATATGGCTTTCTTTAAGAAAAAAATTAATAAATGTGAAACCACATTCTTGATAACCGACACACGTCATCATCAAAGAAAAACGTTAGATTTACTAATAGTATATAATTTAAACTGTTATTCAGTATTATTAAAAGATGTAAAGATCATAATATAACCTTTATTTATAGACATAATAAGACATAAGCTTAGTAAAGAATGCTCTATCAGTTTTTTTTTGTTTTTTTTTAATGAAGAATAAAATCTCCAGGAAACTTCATACGAATCATAACAAAATTTATATATAGGCCTATATAGAGTCTGTCTCTTATACACATCTAGATGTGTATAAGAGATAAGTACTGTATATGCATCATTTCAGCCCAATTATAGCAAGCTACACTTAATATTAAGGGAGGGGAGGAGGGCAGTTTACACCTCACTTACTATTATTCATAAAATAGTGATCAAACTTCGAACAGGTAAGTTCTCGTTTAATCATTCTATTTTATTTCATAGTTACGTTCGGTGCAAACTGAGACATTTAAAGCCATCTCTGGTGCCATGTTTGCTTTAGATACAATAAAGCATAACCAACACTTGAAGTAGTATCCTGTGTTTTATTTCAAGTGTACCATTAAACAACTAGGTAGTAAGAACATTCAACAGTTTTTTTTTTTTTTTTTTTTTTTTTTTAATGAATAGGTTTATCATAACATTTTCTAAAAGTTTTCTCATTGGACCATCCTGCAGTTTTAATTATGGCCTGAATTAGTACTCCAGATTCTTTTGCTGCCGACGTCGCAGCTGCTCTCGTCGAATGTGCCTTAAATATCATGGTGTCAATACCTGCAAACTTAAGAACATATTTTATCCACCGTTAAATTGTTTCTCTTGATACAGCCTGGAATGGCTTGCGATAGCTAACAAAAAGTTGGGTGGTATCACCCCTCACGCTCTTTAAGAAGTGTAACTACATATAATCTCTCCTCAGGGTTATTTGTCTTAAGTGTCAACATTATGTGTTAGGCCAGGAACAGTATTTCCTGGCCTGCTCTGCTTTAATAAGTTATTAACATAAAAAATGACTTGGTCCTATTTTTAAATCCATATTACTGATACACAAAAGATGAAGAGTTTGGCCTCTCTGTGTAGATATTATTGCTATTAGAATGCAGAGCTTTAATGTTAATTGTTTTAAGCTCAATCTCTCTATGGGATGCCAAGTCCTCAGATAGTCAAAGACTACCTGGACGTTCCAAGTATTACTATACCTACTCCGTGGTTGTTTCAAGTTGAAAACACCCCTTATGAAGCGACTTACAAGTGGGTGTGATCCTACTGTTTGTCCATTGTTAAGAATCAAGAAAGATGATAATGCACATCTTGCTGAATTAACTGTAGAAAAGCTTTGTGAGGTTTGATAAACCCTTGTTAAGAAACTCAAGATCAGTTTTATGTCTGACTGAATGGGTTTGTTGTCTGTAAATAACATCCACTTCCTGATATACTGCAAACAGCATACTGGTCTCTTGAAGATTTGATGAAGTCCTTAGTGGCCTGTGGGATGTCTCCTATTGCTCCCCTGATAATCTGCAAGCAAGTAAAGTAAGTTTGATATTAAGGGGGTTTAGCCTGCCTGTTACAGGCTGAGATAATAAATTTTCCCTCTGAGTGTTACAGGATTTCCCCATATCATTGACATTGGTTTTGGAAACCAATATTGGGTAGGCCAGTTTGGTACAACTAAAATACCAGTTGCATTATCCTGTGTTATTTTTTGCAAGCATTTTCCAATTAAGCAAAAGGGTGGAAAAGCATTGAAAGAGAATTTGGCCCAATCTAGTGTGAATGCATCACCTTCAATTGCTCCTGGGTCCGGTTTCCATGAAACAAATGATGGAAGCTGTTTATTGAGTCTAGGTGTAAAGAGATCAACTTCTGGGTTTCCAAATTTTGATATTATTTTGTTAAAATAATATTTACTTAGCATCCACTCGGTTTCTTCACGGAATACTCGAGATTTTCTGTCTGCTATTGTATTTAATTCTCCTGGCAAATGTGCTGAGGAGATCCATATTTTTACGATTAACACACCACTGCCAAATTGTCTTTGCTAAATTGTTAAAAGTGTCTGATTTAGAACCACCCATATGTTGAATGTAAGCAACTTCAGTGGTATTGTCTAGTTGAAGTAAAACATGCATGTTATGGTGTTCTCGACAAAAGGCCTTAAGTCCAAAAAAAGTCTGCCAGTAATTCTATGTAGTTTATATTTAATGAATCGCTTACATAAGCTGGTTGCAAGTCATGTTCTGACCATCTACCCCCTATGTGGGTGGCATCATTGGTTGCTCCCAACCTATCCCTGATGCATCAGATGTAATTCTTAAATTTGGAATACCATGACTGATCATCTTGGATGCATTTTGAATGTGGTGAATCCACCAAAGGGCATCTGTCCTTCCCCCTTCCGACAATTGCATTGCCCTATCAAAATGCCCATGGTTTTGCCTCAGTGCCATAATCTTGTCTTTCTCTAATGCCCTGTAATGCAGTTGGCCATATTCGACAGCAGGGAAAGATGCTTTAATCTTCCCTAAAAATTTTGCTACTTGGCGAATGGTCAGTGTCTTGTACACAAGTCTTTACTATCATGAAGTATTTCCTCCTTTTTTGATAGTGGAAAAGAGATTTGCATAGTGAAAGAATTTATTTCAAATCCTAGAAATGTTATGACCTGAGTCGGTCCAAAACAGATTTTTGATAGTTTATCAGGAAACCCTATGATGACAAAATTTGACATGTTTCATTAACTGATGCCTTAGCTTTGTCCTTGTCTGGGTTAATGCATACAATATCATCTATAAAAATTAAGACTATGTGCCCTCTACTTCGTAAGTACGCTAGAGGGGGTTTTAAGATTTTTGTGAACAATCTTGGACCCGAGCTAAGGCCATTTGGGTAGCACGGCAAAGGTGTACAAACTACCCCTCCAGACAAATTTCAAGTATTTATGGTCTGAATCCGCTATGGGGACTGTATAGTAAGCATCTTTGAGGTCATATATACCCTCGGTGTTATTAACGTCAGGACATTTGCAAATGTTTCCATTTTAAAATGTTTGTAGCAACAAAATCATTTAGCCGTGAAAGGTCGAGGATAGTTCTGAATTCACCATCTTTCTTTGGTCTAGCAAATATGTTAGACACAAACTGAACTTGTTCAAAGTGGGATGGCTTAACAACTTGCTTTTTAAAGAGTTTTTCAAGTTGACCATAATTGCTGTCATCTCCGGTTTTGTAAGCCGGTAGGGATAGGGTATTTTTCCCCTCATGAACATTGGAATTTGCTTAGCAAATTCTATTTTGTAGCCATTTATGGCATTTAAAATGTATGGGTCTGACGTATATTTTCTCCATGTGGGTAGAAATGACCTCAGTCTTCCCCCAACTGTGTCTGTGCCTTGGGGAACTATCTGAGAAATACATTTAAAGGTGGTAGACTCACCTACCTTTTCTGGTGCTTGTTCTGATTTTGAACCCAATTCTTTTGATGGTATGCTTTCTGCTGGTGTACTGCGGTCGACGATGCAGCTGGTCGTCGACCTCTTGGGGCTAAAAAATGTTTCCCCCTGTTTTGAAAAGCTGGATTTGGGTATGGACTGTATCTTGTCGAGTGTTTATACTGCTGGGAGCTATTTGCTGCAAACAAGCCCAATATAGCCTTTCGCTCATCATCGAGTAATTTCACAGTCTTACCAAGGTCACCAAACAGATATTCGTTTGGTTTGTGCGTAGCTTTACACAAATGTGCATATCGTCTGTTTATTTCTAGTTTCAGTAGATCCTTTCTTAAAACAAGAATTTCATAATTAGCATTTGCTAACAACGCCATAGTCTCCTGTGTTACAGGGTCTTCGGTTCGATGGCCCAGAGCTCTGGTCATCGCTACAATTCCTTTGATTAAAGGCTTTTGGACCCTTCGAATCTTCAAGTCCATAGACCTAGCTTTAGGCGATACGCCATCCCAGATTGTTGGGTTTACTTTTGGGACAATCAATGCTTTAGCATTTTCTGGGCAACAATATGTTTTTCACGGTTCTGTCATGACTGTCTCATTGTAACAAGTAAGTAACACTAGCTGCCATACCATCACTGATAGGTGGCCCAGCTTCATCAGTGGCAGCAAATCGTGCTGCAAATTCTGGTGGTTTCACATCACCAATAATCATGGCAGAGGCATTCTGTTCCTCCTCATGCTCAGTCGCATAAATATTAACATTATCGTCAATATCGGACACGCTACCTAGGCCTAGGCCGAAGCTATGATGAACATCCGACAGTGTGTTGTCATTATCATCAGCATTAACACTGCTAGTGCTAGGTCTAGCTGGATTTGTAGAACTTACATTCTCAATTAGCTGCATAAGCAAGCTGTTTGTTTGCTTGACTGGCCTTTATTCTGTTGTCAGTGTCAGCGTTAGGCCTACGCTTTGAGGGCTGCCTCGCAGTGGGTTTCCCACCTTTTGCGAAGAGCTGGTCAACCTCAGGCTCCACCGATCGCGCCTGCTGGCTCGTCGGGCCTGGGTCTGTAGAAGTAGGCTGTTTCGAGATCGAAATTCCGTCCTTAGTAGGGGTTGCCCCTTGAGATTTACTCATTCTCGGACTTCTCGAAAAACAAATATACAATAGTAGTTACTATTATTGTATAGGCCTATCAGGGCTTCGCCTTGACAAGAAACAAACTTATTTTTATCTGTCAAGGGTAACTCTGAGCGGTTACCGCTCAAACGTGGTCGTTGCATATGCCGGGAACTACGCATGCGCGTCGTCGGGATCTCAGTTTGCACCGAAAGTAACTATGAAATAAAATAGTAGATATAATCTCTAAAATGTATTATAAATAAAATAATTAAAACATAATAATAATAATAATACAAAAATGTTAAGTATATTATTTATTACTATCATCATCATCATTATCATAGGCTCAATTTTTATTATTATTTTCATTAACATAATGTTTTTTTATTTATTTATTGAGGTGTAGAAAACAGCAAACACAAATAGCTAGCACAAAGCTAAATTCCTGCATCACAATACATACAAAACTTATACAAGAATCGTCATACAGAAAAAAAATGGGGAAAAAAAAGACAAATACCTTACTGAAATAAAAAACAATAATTAAAAGTAAATTAAAAATAAATTATTATTATTATTATTATTATTATTAGAATATTTAAATACTGAATATACTGACGGCAATACTTTAAGTAGTAATATAGTAAAAGTAAATAAACAATAATTATAACCATACATTATACTAGACATGGAGATTACCGTACCAAATAGAGTGAAATTACTGAATATATTGCTGTTTGACTAATAACAATTATGATTATGATTGTTAATGATTTCCATTAAACATGCACCCAATATCATGATTGACATTTCTTATATGCAGCCTGTAGCCTGCATATGGTTTTAGAATGGATAGAGTATCGTGATGTAGCTTATGCAATATTTCATAATCGCACAACGTAATGTTTATGAATTATTCATATAATTGGGAAAATATGTGGTTATTTATAAATAATTAACTTTTATATACAGCTCCCTGTGCACATCATGGGAATCAAATATTTTATTCAATACGCTCCCCATGTTTACGACTTAACGAAGGTTCAGATATACTTGAAATGTATATTTTAGCATCGAAACCTTCCACTCGTTTAAGGAGAATTATGATAATTAGTTGGGGGCGCACTTTAATACTATTTTTAAGGACCGGCAAATTCGAGATGTAGCCTGCAAAATATGTTAAAATATTATTAATAAAGCATCTGTTGTAACAGCTGCCATAATTTATAGGGTGGGTGAGGAAGGTGGGTGGCGATCATTGGTTAATTCTACTTTCAAATATGCAATTTTCAATGCCAATAATCAAGTTTTGGTAAAATAATGTTATCAATTTATTTTAGTACCTTCTTCTATATTGAGTTCAATCCACTGGGCCTTTACTCTTTAAGTTTAGTTTCTTTTTTACGCTAATATTCACATATTTATAAAGGGTTGTGATTATTGTAGATTCGGCTACTGATGATATAATACAAATATTATTGTAATTTAAATTATCGTTATTATTATTATTATTATTATTATTATTATTATTATTATTATTATTATTATTATTATGGCGATGCTATACTCACATGATAATTAGTTATAGTCTTAATAATCATATTAATGATATTTCTTTTAATTAATGATAGGCCTAACTTAGATATTGATTATGGAAAAGATAACCATGCAGTAAAGATAAGAAAAACTAAACATAAAACCCATATATTGATTTATGTTTTACTGATATTCGATTTTCCAGTTCAATAACATTTAGCTAAATAAAATTCATCCAGGCATTAATTCAGTTAACGACTTAAATTCAAAAGAAAGGATTATGAATTCAGAAATTCACAAACCAGTTCTCTGGAGAGTAGAATGAGATGAAAATTATCCAATTGCATGTAAGTCGGCAGTCAACTCTACTCGGTAACAAATTCCTAAAGGCATAACACAAATGTAAGCATATCGGCTTAGTTCAATGGTGTACCTAGTTAACCAACAATAACGTCAACTTTCTGATCAGATGTTGACCGATTTTACCCTGTTAATGGATTTAATACTAGACAGTTCTATGTCAGTGGCGTTAACCAACAATATCGTAAATTTTGCTGTTCGGGGTTGACCGATTTTACCTTGTTAATTAATTTACTCTGTTAGATTTTGGTGGCGTACCCAGTTTACCAACAATCGTCAGTTGACTGATCCGATGTTGACCGATTTTACCTTGTTAATGAACTTACTGGACTTTTGGATAGGCAAAAGTGATTAAAACTGTAAAGATTACGGAATTTGAGAGGAAAGTATATTGAAGCGTAACTCCCTGCAAGTTTACGGGAGAAAATATATTTTTTTTATATTAGAAGGTCTAAACATTATCTTAAATTTCAATTAATTATAACATATAATAGAGACGCTGCTAACAAGTAGACCCACAAAACTGGCTAGTCACTTAAAGCGAAACTAGTTTCTCTAATGAAAATAATAAACTAAAGGATGCCCATTGCAAGCAAACATATAAGGCAATATATCATAAAGAAGGGTAGTCTAGCCTTTGCGATTACGGTCTCTTCGAAAAACTGAATATCCTTCTATTTTAATTCTGTTGTCAGATACCGAATCATCAATTCATGTTTCGTTAACAGAGATAAACTGCTGTCTCTTATACACATCTAGATGTGTATAAGAGACAGCAATCTCACATTAGAATGTTAAATTCTCACACACCAAGGTATAAATTTTCTTTCAGTTTTTTTCTTTTCATTGTTTGATACACATAAAATTGCAGTAAGCAAAATATCTGGCCAGAAAACGAGTGTTCAATGAGTAAGTCGCGTCATAAACTCTAAGATAGCGTTCTGTTATTATCAAATTACACGCTAAATTGCATTCCTTTTAATCGTTATCAGCAAACAGTCAAAGGCCTTTGCGGTAAGTAACTAATTTGCACTTAACCGGATTTAGAAACGAGCTGTTTGTTTGGCGTAGTGATCCGGGATGAGGATAATGAGAAAAAATTTTAATGCAGGGTGGTCTAAAATTTAGGATTGCGAATATACTTTTTGTCCATAAATATGCAAGTGCTTTGAGGATTTTCTCATGTTTGCTTCCATATTAAACTTAGACTAGGCCTACATTTACTTCTAAAGTGTTTGCAATTTATTTACGTAATTTTCAAAACCGTGTCACTTAACAAATTTTGGTTGTTTTCACTACTGTTTGACTTATAATACATATTCATTAAAGTTGTCTTGGTTTGCACGAAACCATCCTATTATTTTCCCCATTAAACATACACACTGTGAACTTTATTAGTTTTGATTTTGTTCCGCCCCGTTGCCACCCTGGCCCGTTGCCACCCGGCCTTTTGCCACCCGGCCCGTTGGCACCCGGCCCGTTGCCACCCGGCCTGTTGCCACCCGGCCTTTTGCCACCCGACATGTTGCTACGCGTAGCCTTATTTCAACTGGTGATTGTTGACCGAAACAAAAATAAAAGTTAATGTTTGTTTCTCAACATTCAACCCACAGGAGTCTAAAGTTCTGTCCAAATTATCGAATTTTATGACAAAATAAAAAACACTTTTGTATGCTCATAAATAATTTTGTGTGCCTATATATGGTAATGATGCATAGTCGTCATGATCATTTTTAGGCATGTCACATGTTTTTGTTAAATAAAATTTTAAGGTCTTGAAAGGACGTAACTCACATGGAAATATTCGCGTGATTAGCATGCGTTATTTAACGAGACTGCTTAACAACCTTGGTCATTTCAAGGCTCTTTTTGATTGATGTATTACGTAGTCTATCTTACTCAAAAGAGATAATAATATTCAATAACGTTATTCATATTCATAAAACAATTTTATTATTTGGTTAACGTGGCAGATGAGCCGTTAATTTAACCATAAGTTTCACAAGCGATATATGAACACGTTTTTGCAATCTGTGTGTACGTTTCATTGATGAAGCACAAGCTCAAGTCAGGCTTAAGTTAAATGTCACAAAAAATGAGACTATTCACTCCTCTCAATTACTACTAGATTAGAAACAAGAAATTAGATAAGAAACATAATACATTTTTTTTTCTATTATTGACCAATAAAATCAAATAAAGGTAATGTTGCATCACGACTCATGCTTTGAAGCCTGTTTATCACCATATAAGGGCCTAATCGCTTTAAAAATTGATCAGTAAATTGAACTAATACTACAGTATATACTATTATTAATAGTATAACAATGGCATTATCATCTTCACTACCATCATTTTATTTTACATGGAATTTAACAAAATACCATATTAAATTGGAAAGTTTTTCTTGCAAGATTAGTGTTATCTTTCCAGCGGGGACGGCTACCCCTTCGGTAAAACTGTGTAATATATTGAATG